TATATATATAGTTAGTACAGTGCCTGTAGGCCGATTAGGACGATGATGAATAGACCTGCACAGAGACGTGTGCGAACGTTCGGGGTAAAATCAGAGCACTGTGTGCAAAAAAACACTTGTTACAAGGACACTCCAGACAGTTGCAGCACACGTAGTCTTGTGTACAACCCTCCAACCATAAAAATGCATGTGAATGTATATGGATATTTGAGGACTACGATGTATGAATTCCTCATCTTATATTTTAGTCCTAAAACTAAAACCCTAAACCCTAAACTCTAACCATAAATCCGTAAACCCCTGAATCCCGCAAACTCGGACGAGCGCCATTCACATACACCACAGCTGACAGAAGGCACGAATGCGGCAATAGTACGGTTGACCGATAGTCTCTGCGTATGCACACATCACAGCACAACCAAGCCCCCCGAAAGACCCAAGCGTACCTCCAACTACCAGGCACACTACAGCTATATACACCATACACATGCCACTGCAATATAGCCCAAGTACAACCCATTGTGCATATATCGAGTTACCTATCCACTTGACACTCACAGCCAGGCCCAGGTTGAGTCCTGTTAGAGCCATCCACATGACCCACAGTTTAGAGAAGGCCTGTGCACGGCAGTTGTGCAGCTTTACGGCTGTGTATACCGTGAGCGCGATGAAGAGCATCAACGGGGGGTCTAGGAAGATAAACCTGGTTTGCGTTACGAACATGTTCTCAAAGAGTATCATGCCTGTGAGTAAGTGTAGAGGTACAGAGAGACGGGTTGTTCAGCTTGAATTAGAATTGGAATTTAAACCTGGTTTACGTTGCGAATATGATCTCGAAAAGTATCATGCCTGTGAGTAAGTGTAGAGGTACAGAGAGACGGGTTGATACAGTTTGAATGAGAATTGGAATGTTAACCTGGTTTGCGTTGCGAATATGATCTCGAAGAGTATAATGCCTGTCGTTAAGTGTAGAGGTACAGAGAGACGGTTTTATACAGCTTGAATGAGATTAGGAAAGTAAACCTGGTTTGCGTTACGAACAAGTTCTCGAAGAGTATAATGCTTGTCGGCACGTGTAGAGGTACAGAGAGACGGGTTAATACAGCTTGAATGAGAATATGAATGTAAACCTGGTTTGCGTTGCGAATATGATCTCGAAGAGTATAATGCCTGTCGGTAAGTGTAGAGGTACAGAGAGACGGTTTTATACAGCTTGAATGAGAATATGTATGTAAACCTGGTTCACGTTGCGAACATGTTCTCGAAGAGTATCATGCGGGTAAGGTAGAGTTGCGATATAGAGTGAGTCGATCTGCAGACAGCTTCCAGGGTTGTTTAGTCTCCTGTGAGGGTTTAACCCTGGTTTGCCTAGAGTAAATTTGTCTCAGAGGAAATGATGTATTCATAGAATATAATGAGTGCGATCACCAGTTGACGGTTAAAGCCAGTACACTATTGAGGACACTCAATGTACTCCATAAAAGACATACACCCTAAACGATAAAACCCTAAACTATATAGAATCGATGGCAGAGATTGCTCGTGGTAAGAAGTGTGAGATAGGCCAGAATCGGTGTACTATACGTCCACATTCTCGGTACTAATAGAAAATTATATATATATACATATATATATATATATATATATATATATATATATATATATATATATATATATATATATATATATATATATATATATATATATATATATATATATATATATATATATATATATATATATATATATATAGTACGACGTAGACGACGACGACGACGAGAGAGAGAGAGANAT